CAAGTTGTATTCACAAAATGGAATATCAGCTAAAAACACTTTGGCTGTTCCTGTGGTGCAATATAGTTTCAGCATGAATGTCAAAGCAAGAAAGCTTCTCCCTTGCCACTACATACATCATTCTAAGGCTGATGTTGATCATCTGTATGTGTCCAAATCTGAAGGAGGCAGTACTAGAACTGTCTTACAAAACCACAATAATCGGTCTTCAAAGAAACTACAGAAGACTGCATGATGATCTGTGCCAAAGAACATGAAAAAAATAATTTTTTATTTAGTGGTAAGGGAAGCCAACAATTCAAAAAGAAATTTCAAGTGGTTGAAGAAGCGCAAATAAACCATAATACAACTATTGCTGTGGCAAAGAACCTAAAAAAGAAAGCAAATTCAATGTACCAAATGCTAAATTGATGGCAAGCTGTACCAAACAAGCTGATGGAGACAAACTCTGTACCCATCAGTGGTTACAGTAGTTAGTGCAGGGTTAAAAGCTGGAACCAAAGGTTTTATTCTTGCTGCACAAAACCAATGCTTGCTAACTAGAAATGACCAAGCACACATACTGAAAAATTGTGTTGACCCCAAATACAGATTCTGTGATAAATATCCAGAAACAATTGACCATCTTGGTGGACAGTATTAGCACCCACTGAATATAAAACTCACTGGAAAATATGTCACTTTTATGGGAAAGAAACTGCAAGAAAACTGGTATGAACATCACCCAGACCTGGTTATAGAGATAGGATCTGTAACAATTTTATGGGACTTAACATTACACACAGACAGAATAATCAAAGCTAATTGCCCAGACATTGCGATCAAAGACCACAAGAAAAGAATGTGCTTTCTTATTGACATGGCAGTCCCTGAAGATTGTAATGTATTTCTGAAAATTTTCAAAAACTATCAAAATACAAGGATCTTGAAGTGGAAATCTAAAAAATGTGGCACATGAGAAGTGAGTAATTCCAGATGGAGTTGTAGCCCTCAGATTGATTAGAAAAGGTTCCAGTAGACTCATTGGAGGGATTCCTGGCATCCCATGCCTTAAAGAAATACAAAAAATTGTACTCACAAGTACAGCTCACACATTATGATGAACTTTATCTATGTAAAATGTGTGTGATCTTAGCCTTTTTTTTTTTTTGAATAATTTATATACTTTAAAATCTTTTCAAATTCTGTATTAATTTATAACAGTCAATTAAATTAAGACTGTATTTACTAATCATAAATGGAAAACTCACTACAATTCAATGATCTCCAATATTTGGAAAAAAATTTCAAATTTATTTTGTGTTTATAAACGTATCAATTTTTGTAAATATGGATGTCCAAAAACAAAATTATCAGAAAATAAGAGTGGTAACTATAGTATATTTAAAATTTATTGGTGTATCTTTTTAACCTTTCCTCAGTGAGCATCTCCATAAGTTAGGCAAAGTATTTAAAATTCAATAAAATATTACATTACATAGAATATATTTCTTAGCTTTTAAAGATTACTGGGTAGTTAAAAAATTATATAAAAAAGTCATCCATGTTATATTCAAATAATTGTTAGAAATATGTCCCCTTTAGGAAAAATTCCCAAACATAAGCCTGTTGATAGAGTTGTCAACACCTCATAAAAACATCTACCTTGGCACTTTGACGTGGTGTAATGTCTAGCTAGCTTGTCTCACTAGATAAGTTATGACTGAATAGTGAGTTTGATCCACACTGAGTGCTTCTTATTTTGGCCTTGTGCCACATCTAAGGTACACTTAGTAAAATCACTATAAAAACACCTACCTCCATGTTAAAAAATGCTTTTCTGCAATATTTTAAATTAAAAGTAAGTAATATTTGCTACAAATCAGATTAATTAAACTTTAAATCAGATAATTTTCCTCAAATTTTGAGTCAAATAGTTTCAGAAGAGTATATTTGATTTTTTTAAAGATTTTTTTAATAAAGAGAATTATATTGTGTTTGTCAATATGGACAATTTTAGTGTTTTTACTGTAAAAAAACAAACAAAAAAACTTATTCCAATCAATTAAAAAAGCAGAATTTTTTGAATAATTTAAATTGCTGATTTTTTTGCAAAATTGGACCTGGTCTTACTGAAAATCTGTTCTGAATTGAAAATATAAAACACAATAAAACTAAGACATCATTTAATTAGAAAAGTTCTTAATTGCTTGTATGAATAATATATGAAGACAATATTGTCTGAAGAAAAAAAATTCAGTGAAAAAAATGAAGATTTGTTTTCATTTTTTACAATTTAAAATTGAATAATTTATAAAATTTTTGAATCTTTTAAAGTTCATTTTTGATGAGATAATTCTGTTAAGTAAAACTATATTTACTAATCATACATTTTAAAGATTATTACAATCTGAAGACCCTGACTATTTTAAAAAGAATTTAGATTTATTTTTATATATGTATATAGATGCAGAATTTCTGAAGTATGGATGTACAAACTGATAAATCTATTCTTAAAAGGTCACGTGTTTTAAGGGTTGTCCCTCCTTATGAAAAAAAACAAACAAAACCCTAATGAAATCTATTGTCTGCTACACCATACTTAACCATGAACATGTTTGGCAGTCAATAAATCGATTAACACATCAGAAAAGAAGACCCTGCAGTTAGGAAATGCTTGTATACAACATTCTATGCTATAAGTAATATTTATTTCAAATCAGGTTAACTTTAAATTTGGTATTTTTCCTCAAATAATGTTTCAGAAATATATATTTTATTTTTGCAAGATTTTTAAAATGGAAACTTAAGTTTTGCTTAAAAATGTCTAAAAAATGGCTGACGTTATCGATTTTACTGACCCCCCCAAAAAAAAATAAAACAGGTCTATTCCAATCAATATAATTATTTTGCTTACTGGGTATAGTAAATTCAATCCTTTAGCTTTAGGAAAGCTTTTTCATTTTTAAAAATTCATTTTAAAACTTATGTATACCCAATTCATAGAGGTACCTTCTTTAAAAGATGCACATCCATTGAATCTGTCTCTTCTCCTCCAAGCTATAGGTTAAATACCAAGGAAGACTAGGTTATCTAGCCTTGGTTGGCAGTCAATCTAAGAGAAAGATAATTCTGAATTTGAAACTACGAAGAAGGCAATGGGGAACCATTCCACAATCTTTCCCAAGAAGTCATAGCAATTCATAGACATTAAAGAAATGGAATCTGTGGAAAGCAATGATTGCCTGTTCTGAAGGGACATAACATTTAAAAAGAATCATAGTGCTAGGACATATACACACATACATCTTACCCCACCTCATTTTTCTTACTCTCCCCAAATTCATTTCCATTTTAATTTGAAATGTACCAGCAGCATAAATATATTTTTTAGTTTACTTAAGAACCAAATATTACTTTGTTGGGGAAAGATTCCTTGGACACCGTTTAACATAAAATAAAATAAGAGAAAAGATTGTTACGTGTTCAAATGAAATGATATTTATTTAAATGTAGGATGCACAAATGTTACTTATCATGAAATGAAAGTTAGAAAGTTCTTCTGTACTTTGACTGTAAGGAAATGAATATGAATAGTCTTTCAGCGAGAAAGAGAGAAAGTGGAGTTGGGAGACAAGATCAAAGGGATTCCACTGTTGTTTTGATGAGAAAGACAACATGCCTAGGTTGACTCTTGTCTCTTCACTGCTGTCAGTCCTTCTGCTGAGATGAATGAATATTTGTTTTTTATGGTCTTGTGTAGGCTCCAGAGGCCTTTGTTTATTTACTGGTGGGAGCTGATTTTATTGTCTATTTATTTTTATTAAATTGAAAATTTAAAGTATATTCCCCCCACTCCCTGGAAGGCTGTGTGGAGTCCTTGCGCAGTGTGTTTAATTTTGTCATTTGCTCCTTTGATTTGATGTTGTTCACTTCCACCTACTTTACAAGTCAAATAAAAATTCCAAATTTTTATAAAATTTCTCTTCTCTTAGGTGGATTATTTATAGAAAGAAAAAAAATGTTTGTTTATTTTTTTTTTTTGTAATTTTAAAGCTTTTACATTTTACTTACCTTTTGCATTTTCAGTGTTACATTGCAGTTGGTTGGGGGTAAAGTGATTCTTTTTATACAGGTTTATGATGGATTTTTATGGACATTTATTTTTTTCCGTTCACTGAATAATTTCAGTGGTCAAACACCATTTTTTGAAAAAAAAACATCTCCCTCATTCAAAAGATTGAAAACAAATAATTTTTATATCAGAATTTTCTCCAGTTTTGTTTCTTACAAATGAAACAATGGTTTCTAAAAATAAAATGAATTTTCATTGTATTTATGTTTTTGAGTTTTATTGTTTTTTCATCATACATCACTTTTTTGTCAAACATTTTTGGATGTACCAATTTGGGAGACAAATAATAATTTGGGGTTTTTAAGGTTAATTTAATTACTTGTGATTCAGATTATTTTGATTTTTATTTGTAAAATTTTTTAATTAAAATAAAATACTCGTGCTTTTTCCAAGTGCTTCAATTTACACATAACCTTCTTCCTATTACAGATCATTCAGACAACATGTACTTTTGTTAATTTTAATCATTTCTTTTGTAGAATATATTTAATGAATCCATAAGTGATACCAGTAGTTAAGTATATTAACTTTGCAAGTGTACTTTCAAAACTAGCACAATGCTACTTAGCAGCACACCAATTGCAATATTAGACAGGCAACAACAAGCAAGGCATTAGACAAATCAAGCAAGGATGTCAGCAGTTAGCTAAATTGAAAGTCCCAAACAGGGACAAACAAGACAACAGTCTATACAGCAGAGAATAGCCTTAGTCATGCTGAGTGTGATTATACAGAGGCAGCAAGAAAATCAAGAAAGGGACTTCAGAGACAATAATATCCACTATTCTTTCAGTCTCACTTCATATTTTATGTTATCTCAAATATATGGCCCAAAAAAGGCAGTCAAAGAGAACTTTCAAAGACCTTGTTTACAGTTCTCTTAGAGATGCTGGAATCATATCTGTGAGCTATGGCAACAGTCAAGCTATGAAATGACATGGAGAAACAGACAAAATATGCCTGTCAGTGGCAAAATGGCAAAGATTTCCTCATCTCAATATGCTTGAAGAAAATGTCGAAGAATATGTTTGCAAGAAAAATGGATGAGAACAAAGAATTCAATAGAATTTTTAATTACAATACTTGATTTCAGATGATATTCTTTGACATGGGCTACAAGTTTAAAGTTCAAAACCAGATCTATTATCAAATTGGGAACCTTCTGACCTATTCCCCAGGACAAATGATTTAGTTTGCAGTTTTCATTATGTCTATGAGAATCCTCCATCATTCTAGGGATTATGTTGCTATTCATGAAGATGAAGTAGCAACAGGAGAGCATGCAAATCATTTCAATGGACCCAGAGTTGTTGCAGTAACTGCAGTCAATACTCATCAAGATCATGAAAAAAAAAGATATTGTCATCCATCAAAGTGGAGAACTCAGAAAAATTACTGAAACAAATCATGCACAATATTCTAATATTCTTTGTTGTATTTTTCTGTGTAAATATTATAAATATATTTTTTATTTGCTAATTTGTGTAAGAAGAAATATATTAAAAAATATTTTTACTGTTACATATATAACCAGTTGTCATACCTGAACGTACCTATTCTATTATTAATAGACTCTCCCACACATAATAAGTAGTAGTAGTAGTAGCAGTTGCCAGTTGGGCTCAGTGGAGTTGAGTGAGTCAGTCGATGTCGGACATTGAAGTATCAACCACCCCAACTAGATTGCTGCGTCATTAATTATTATTTCAAGTTCCTAACGTTTTGTACGTCGGACCCTTTTAGGACCGACTTAGCGAAATACAAGCCTCCACTGTGAAAACTACTCTACAACACATTGGCGATGAGGAATTCGTAATTCATACGGGAAAAGAAAAAGTTTTCGTTCACTCTATAACAACACATTGGCGACCAGAATTCGAAATTCATATGAAAAAAAAAAATTTAATGAAAGAAAAAAAAAATTGTTTCGCCATATACAACACTTGGCGACGAACGTATTTTGGATTCATACGGAAAAAAAAAAAAACTTTGCGTTCACTCTACAACACTTGTCAATGTGGATTTGTAACTCATTAAGACAGTTTGCTCAAATAGGTCATGAATTGCAAATTCGTTTTGGACCCCCCTCTACAATATTTAAGCATTGTGTAAACTTTTTGCGAAGATGGAGGAATGTAAAAATATATTCCAGGAATTTTTTAAGTCCCAGACAGAACAACAAAAGACAATATTGGAGCAACAGAAAACATTCCAGATACAACTACAGGAGGAAACTTTTAATAGACAGATTCAATTTCAACAAGAAATGGAACTGATGCATAAGGAGTTTCAAAACAAAATTCTGGAAATAACTGAGAAGAGGAAAGAGAAAAATCTACAAAATGATTCTTTCCCAGAGAATACAATATGGAATTCAATTGAAATATTCACGTACAGTCCAGACGAAGAGATAACTTTTGAAGAGTATTTTAAAAAATATACGACCGACTTAGCGAAATACAAGCCTCCACTGTGAAAACTACTCTACAACACCAGTCAAGTTCATTACATTCACATATGCGCAAATACCCTTGGGAAAGATACAAATCCGACTCTTCTCCTTGCAGTTATGGATAAAAAGCTTCTATAGACTTGAGTAGCAACCAGTCTAGGAGAAGGAAAAATTCCCAATTCAAAACTGTATGTAGCCTTTGTTGAAGCACATATACAGCTAAGGAAAAGATCGTTTGCATTGACTCAGTGTTCCCAACTACGGTCAACTAAATGCAACAATTTAGTTGGAATTTGAACTCAGCCTTCCAATTCCATTTCTTGCAACAATAACTTCTATATGACCTACACAGCCATTACACTACCACACACAACCTACTATACCACCACACACGATCCCACCCACTATACCATTCGCACATCTATATATATTTTATCTATTATACATTTAGACCAGCTTTCTCATTCTTGTTTTTGTTATATTATTTCCGATACTGTATTTTCCAACTTTCCTCATGCATCTGTGCCATTCAGTAACCTTTTAAAAATGTAGGATAGAGCTCTTTATTTGATCCCCCAGATTATTTCATCAATCACTTTGTTATAGAAAGTATCAGCATCATGATCTAACTTTATCTTCTAAAGGTCTTCATTCATGGAAATAAAAACCAAATTACTCAATCTGTACTTCACTTTGCAAATATTTCATATAGTTCCTCACTCACTTCACTGAAGAAAATGACCTTTCACAAGAAGTAGATATGAGAGATAAGGTGAAAAACAGATATAATAATTTGGTTATTTTGACCAGTTCCTGTATTATTTCTGCGACTTCTTGGAAATTTGAAACTTGCATTGCAAAATCTGCAGCATAAACTGATTTCAGCTTGAATTTCATTCTGTCCATGATAATGCTTCTCTTTTTTTTTGTAAGTGAAAAAATTTCACATTTAAAACATCTTAACTTTCCCATTGTTTTCAATATCTGCCCCATGGGAATAATGACATCATCCAAAATATTGTTAAACAAAACTCTTGAAGCAATTTCTGGTTCTTGACATTGACTATACTTCCCTGGTGGTTCAGAAACATGAGAAATTTTTTACAAAGTGATTTTAAATATTTCTTCATTGTAACTTTAGTGATCCATATCAAATTTCTAGTTAAATTTAAAATTCTAAAATTATAAAATATTGCTTTAAATAAAAATTCAGATACTAAAATAAATATTTAAAAAAATTAGATATTACCAAAAACATTAGAATAAAATGTTGTAACTAATTGGATTTAGAAATTGTTGACAAAAAATTTAATTTTTTTAGGCAAAATCACATATTTTACCAAATAAGAGAATAATGATGAAAAGCGCTAAGTGTCATAAAATCATCTTAATTTAATGATTATTTTATTTTTGCTAGAATTTTAATTTCAATATTTAACAAATCAGATATCTGTTGTCAAAAGGCTGCCATTTGTTTTATAAATTTGAAGCTATTTAATCATTTTGAAGAATGTTAATGTTTTAGTATTCTGATCAGAGGTAAGGCTCCCTTCTTTTTAACAAAAACAATTAAAAAAATTACAAATTTATTTTAAAAGTTTTAATTGAATTTTAAAATCCTGCTTTTGAAGATTCACTTCCTTTTTGCTTCTCTACTCCTAACCAGCAACAATTTTTTAATTCATCCTGCTCAAAGAGTGGGAGATATATATATTAGCCTAAGTAATGAAGGAATGTAAGATTAAAAAAATATCACAAATGAAACAATGATAGTAAAAATTATCAATAATCAAATTTTACACAAAAATTATTTATCCTGGTAAAAACCTTAGACATGGAAGATAGGTGCTGCATTCTATACTTATTTCATTTTCTAGTTTAGAATGTAAGAAAAAAAGTTTTGTGTATTCATATATGTAGTATTTATGAGGATAAGATATAACTGAAAATAATTGAGATACTGTATTTCTTTTAGCTAGGGTAACTGAGGTTTCATGCCATATGTAAGAAGCAAGAGCTAAGCACTCAGATGAAAAGTGATATCATCAGACTGACTTTGGGATTCTGTTTTAAGATTTTATTCTCAGAGTTTTCCCTGAAGCCTTTCCCATTTAGGTATGGCCACAATGTAGCAGAAGTTTGAAATCACAGTTTTTATTTATCTTAGATCAGTGATCAACTTTTCTTCCTCGGCACTCCTTTTTAGACGACCTGGTGATCCCTACGTTAAAAGTACATTGATAAATGGATCAGAATTAATGCAACAAAGTTAATATCACATGTTCACTACTGGAAGTAAGTTGTGGTGAGAATACCCAAGCCATAGCCAATGTGCTGGATCATCAAAACTACTGAACTTTAGCTTATAAATTTTTACTCTATACAAATATTGCATTTGCATGCAAATGTTTAAAATGTGAATAAAAGTATACAGGCAAAAATTATATGTATATAAAATAAATATGTGTAGACAAAAAGATATCTAGTAGTAAAAATGCGGGATTAAAAATAAATCCATTAATTCTTTAAAAAAAATAAGTATGTAAAGTAAGTTTTTTCTTAAAGACAATGTCCATCTTATATAAAAGCAATTAACTTTATTTTCTTAAGTGACGCGAGTGATCTCCCTTGAAACCGATTTCTTCAGTTGATTGCTTTTTCTTTCACTTGAAAGTTTACAGAAAGTGATTGTAACAAAGTTTTGATATTTTTTTTTTCGTAACAGAAGCCCCATAGAGAACATCAGGCGCGGTAATTTTGTGAAAAACAATTCACGGTATTTTGTGAAAAACAATTTTGATTTTTGTTAGCATTATCAATTTCACTCCTTCCCTTTAAAACTGACATGATTTTTATTTACTTTTTAATTTTTGCAAAGAAAACAGATGAGAACACAAAAAAAAAGTTAACTTTTTTTTAAAAAATCACAGTTACTACTTAGTAATAATTATCTCAATCAGGTGTTTTTAGTACTCAACCGATTTCATTTTTTTTGTTTTGTTTTGTTTATATACAAATAAGAAGAGTAGTTTTCATTTTTTCGAAAGTTTTTTTGTGAAAAGGAAATTACGGCTTAAATGGTGATCAAGTGTAAGTAGTGTAGTTTTTTTATTCAAAGAAAAAAAAATAACAAACAAACAGTTTTCAGAATTTCCATAAATTCTTCTAACTCAGATTTTGTATTACTTTTTGAGTTTTTTGTTTTGTTGTTATATTTTGTATTTAATTTATATTTTATAACATTTTTATAATTTTTAAAAATGTTTCTTTTTTTTTTACCTCTGACTGACTGTGTTCGTAAATAATTACAGCCCTAGTTTTTTGATCCTTTAGAAATAAAGTTATGTATTTATTATTTTTATTAATTTGCAGTTATGGTTAATTATGAAATTTTCGTTTTTTGAAGGACTGACATAATTGTCGATACGCAATCAATTCGATTAAAATCAAACAAGATTACAGAATTACACGTGAATACATTTTTTTAGTGTTTAAAAAGGAAGAAAAAATGACCACAACACTGAAATAAAAAGGGCGTGGGTATGTCATTACATTACTCATATTGAGTCATTGTATGACTGCTTTTTAGTTTTACTTTTATGTGATAAGCAACAATAAACTAGAGAACTCAAAATTGATCGCTGCATTTTTAAGCTTACCTTTTTAAAAGTTCAACGATAATTCTTCTGCCACCACTTAATTTAAAAAAGACAATTTGATGTACGTAGGTCCTTACTTTCCGTACAAACAATTATTTTTATTTAATGGTTGTCTTTCGCTGGATTTCACAATTAATTTCGATTATTTCCAAATTTATTTCCAACTTATAAAATTGTTATAGCAAAATATCACGTAAAAAATCGCCGAAAACAATTGCAGTAATGAAAACTTGGGAATCCAAAAAAATTTCAGGATTGCGAGTCCGGATCTCTTCCTGGATGTTTTTAATTCGCTCACGGAGTCGGACTGATTGCAAAATGGTATTTGGGCTACGGCCTGTAGGAATAAAGTTGAAAAAGTGTAACACACTGACATTCGCATTTAAATTTAATTAAGGATACGGATTTACGCTTTTTATTTTATTTTTTCAACGCCTCTCGTTGTTAAACGTAGGAAGGAATTAAAAAATAATAACAAAGCGATCCACGATCACGTTTCAGGACATCACAACTTGAATGTTTTTCATTCAAACTCTGGTTTTATGTATGTACCTGAAACGTGCTCGTCTAAAAACAATAACAAAAGAAGAATAAATTTTTAAAATTTTGTTCATGGACTTGTCCAATAATTCGGCGAAAAAACAGCATGATGAAAAAAAGGCTCCAAACTTAATAAAAACAAAGTTTTATTTTAAAAGAGTAAAGACTAAGAGGAAAAAACAGAGTATTTTTTAATTATTTTTTTATTTTTAATATTTTTTTATTCCTTTTTTTACGTTTGAAATTTTGGTGGTTGTTAGTTAATATTTTTTTTTTTTTTTTTTTTTTGTGCTTTTTTTGTCAGTTGAAAAACATTAATTTGTAAATTCTTGAAAAAATCAAATAATTGTTGGATTTTAAATGAAACTTTCAGAACTTCTTAAAAAGAGAATGAAATTATTTTAGAAATGTTTGTTTTTTAGAAAGTCATAGTAAAAATGTTTTTTTTTTACATCTGTTACCCCCCCCCTTATGAAAACTTGAATGCGTGACTCTATTTTTTTTTTTTTTAAATTTAAATGTAGAAGAAAGACTTTAAAGAATGTAACTCATCGATTTTTTTTGTAAATCGATAAGAAGAAGCGGTTCTACCTCTTAGCTCAGAAATGTATACAAAACCCAATAAAACTAGGACCTTATTTATTTTAATTTAAGAAAAGATTTTAACGACTTTTCTGAATAAAGGACATTTTTTATCTGACGCCAAAATATTTTTTCAATGAAAAATGAATTTTTACAAGAATTTTCTTTTTTTTTTTTTTTTTCAATTTTAAATACAAAAAAGTTGTTAGATATTTTAAAATTAAGTTTGAAGCTGTGACACTCAGGAAATGCTTTTGTCTACTTTTTACAGATCATAAATTTGAAAGCTTATCTGCGAAGTAGTCTTTACAATAATTTTTTAATATGTCAAAAAATGTATTAAAATCGTCTCTGACAAAACTACAGAAGCACTATTCTGAAATAACGTCATGTGTAGTGTAGTAGAGTTGTTTCTCCTGATAGCAAGGATCCGGCCTCATAAATCGCGTTGATTTCCTATCAAATTCTCTAACTGACCAACCATCATGGTAACATTTTCAAAATTTTTAATTTTTTTTATTTCACTAAATTTCATTTTTTAAATATAAATTTTTTCTTTTTCGGTGAGAGATATACTATAATTATTATTTTTTTTTTTTTTAGATTCAATTTTAGGGACGAAAACAGTGCAGGTTTTGGGCATATCTTCGTTAAAAAAAAGTACCTAAAAAAAAAAAAAATCAATAAAATATTAAACTTTTGAAAGTATTTAATTTTTAAGAATTACTTTATAGTTAAATAAGCTGGTTCACTTGAAATTTAAAAGTACTGTGCCCTTCCGTCCAATAAATTGCCCTAATGTTAGTTGTTGATACATTGACCAATTCACACCTCCAAAGCCAATCACCACTGTTAGACATGCTTCTCTTATTTCCAACTAAATTTTTTCTAAGAAAAATTAAGTAATCTTTGTTTCAAATTACATTAAGTATACTTTAAATTTTCTAATTTTGCTAAAATAACTTTTGGAAAAAGTATAATTGAATTTTACAAGATTTTTAAATGGAGAATTTCACTTTTGATTACGAAACAGTAGTGGCTGATATTTTATGATTTTTATGTCAATTTTGATGCTCCAAAAATACAAAATTTTTAGCTACAATTTTGGATGTGCAAGAAAGGATAAAAACTTTTTTCAAATATTCAAAAAATAATTTGGTCTTTCTTCTTAATAATAACAAACATTTAGACAATAAAAAAAATTGTTTAATCAAATTTGGGGCCTTTTTTTGCCAGGGTATGTTCTTTTTTTAGCAAAGTATTGGACATACACTTTCTTGTTTCCTTTGTTCAAATATGATATTTTTATTTCATTTTTATTTATTAAGAAAAATTAACCAAAATCGAGTGGATTGCTCACTTTAGGAATGGAATGTAAAACTGGACCTTGATTTTGTACCCATTTATTCAAATATGGCTGTAAAAGAAAAGAACCAGTCCATTTATGACATAACAACAGTACAAAAATGGTGGTGAACCAAAACACTTGGAGAGTTGAGTTAAAGGGACATGACTTAGACATCTGGAAGACACATGGCACATAGAACTCTACTCCAGTGGATGAAATAAAGAGTCTGGTTTGAAATTCCAATCACCTGAAGTAGGCAGGAGTGTACAACAGGTGAAATGTTGTGAATATGGTAATGAAGATGAGAATAACAGTCTGAATAATGTAAATAATCATCAAAACCTATATTTTTCTAGGATCCCATTAGTCATATATATTTCTGAACTACACTATCAAAAACATCAAAGTGTACTCTATCCTAGCAATCTCTCTAAGAAGGACAAATTACGCTTTGATGTATTTTATAGAGTGGTTCAGAAATTTATAATATGACTAATGAGATCCTAGAAGAATATAGATATTGATAACTTGCGAGTAATATCTTCGTTTTGTCCTTACTGTAATTGATCAGTTTAAAAAAAACATTGTCATCAGTTAAAGCATCAAAATGAGGTTTAATAGATTTAATCTAAATATTGAGAAAATAATTTAGAATCTATGTCCTGAAGCATAGAATTTTTAAAATTATTAGATTTACAATTTAACTACAAGAAGGTGCAAAAATGTTCTCAGACAAGCTCACTTTCCTAAATCATCTGACCAAACAGTTTTTTGTGTAAAGTCCTCTTGGTTGGGCCAGGAACTTCCTAGTATCCTCTTGTATCAATTTAATGCTTGTGACACTATTTAGCTATGGTAATTGATTAATTAATCATAAAAATTAAACAAGAAAATACTGAAAACAGAAAAGATACCCTGAGATTTTATTTTTAAGTTACTTTTCTCAAGAACGAGAGAATTTGCATAAACAGTAGGCTCACAAAAAGGCCATATGCGAGCTTTTGACAAATGATTAATGATGTTTGTAAAAGTACTGGTTAAAGAAAGCCAAGAACAAGATATCATTCGAAATCGCAAGATTTTAGAAGTCAACCAGGTGATAAGGCCATATGTTCTTTGTAAGAATGTTTGGCATAGAAAGGTGTTCCGAGAGATATGTGTTCAATATGGAAAGATTTTATTTTCTTACTTTCCCAAGAAACTGAGGATTGCAACCTCATCTATATATATATATATATATATTTTATATATATATATATATATTTTATATATATATATATATATATATATATATATATTTTATATATATATATATTTTATATATATATATATATATATATATATATTTATATATATATATATTTTATATATATATTTTATATATATATATATATATATATATATATATTTTATATATTTTATATATATATATATTTTATATATATATATATTTTTATATATTTTATATATATATATTTATATATATATATATATATATATATATATATATATATATTTTATATATATATATATTTTATATATATATATTTTTTATATATATATATATATTATATATATTTTATATATATATATATTTATATATATATATATATATATATATATATATATATTTATATATATATATAATATATATATTATATATTATATATATATATATATATTATATATATATATATTTTATATATATATATATTTATATATATATATATATATATTTATATATATATATATATATATATATATTTTTATATATATATATATATATATATTTATATATATATATATATATATATATATATATATATATATATATATATATATATATATAAAAATTTAAAAAACTAAAGGATAAAATTATCATTTTGAGGATTTAATGTACTTTAAAGATCAACTGCATTATGTTCATCACTGACACAAAATGTTGCATATTCTTTTGATGTTAGTGCTTGATAAAATATTAACATGATTTTAAATCACTTTTTAAATATGCATTTTTTTATATTACTTTTTTCATAATACTATCTGTTTGTTATATTAAAAAATGTAAAGAAAACCCAAAACCTATTTGATCATCCATTTAACAAATAACAAAAGTTCTGTTGATTTTATAACCATGGTACTTATGTAAATGTTATTCAACATTTAAAAGAGCTTTCTAAAGATATACAACTTAACCATATTGTGAGATATGCAAATTTTGACATATAGTGGCAGATGCCCAAATCTGTCATTTTGAATTGGGGTCATTTCAGTAAAACACTTAGCAAAAGTTTTACTCAGTTTCCCACTATGAATTTTTTTTGTACATATGACATAAGACAGATAAATTATTTGGCAAATTTCAATGAAAGAAATAAAATACCATTTTTTGAGAAAATTAAGATCAAAGGTTAAGGTCAACTTGCCTTATTTGACCTCTAAGATAAAAAAATACATATGGTACATTTTAGATTCATCCAAGTATTTTAAAATGGTATATAAATAAGCTCTTTGGGTGCAAAAATACCAGAGATATTAAATTTTTCACTATTATTGAAAATTCATATTTTTGGCAAAGGTCAAAGAACCATTCAATTTTGAGTGGTAAGTCTGGTACAATTTAATTCATATCTATAAGTGTAGCAAATTTGAAAAAAATCCATGTTGGTTATGGTCTGACTCCTCATTGACTTGACATGGAATGACTTTAATGAAATATTGGCTATGAAAATATAATTCATTAATAAAAGCAAATTTATGCTTGTTGAGAACTTAAATATGATCATTTTTCATTTAATTCAAATCCAAGTATGAAGAAATAAAAGAGAAAAAGCATTTGCTTTAAAATAATTATTTTTTTTATAAGATTAATATTTTCTTTTGTTATGGCATTTTTAAATAAAAGAAAAATTTCTTTGCTAAAATATTTTCCTATTTTTCAGTTTGATCTTGGAAAAGAAATCATTTGTTTTTGAGCTTTTGTGTCCAGTTTGTGACTGATACAATTTGCTGCATTGTATGTAAAGTGATTTCTGAAATGGCACATTCAAATATTTCCTCATCTCATGGTAAGTAATAAAATATTTAATGATTACTTTTGAAAAAGAAAAATAAATTTTTTTTTTTTTTTTTATAGGATATTATCTTTTTTATATATTATCTTTAGTGAATGAAATTGCTGGTTTATTCAAATAGAAAAAATATTTATTCAATTTAAATATTCTCCATCTTGGCCTCTAAACATTTATTCCATTTTAGCTAAGTTATCAGTTCTCTTTTTAAAAAGATTTTCAAAAACTTTGTAGGATATGAATGAATTTTAAAGACAAGATATAGATATTAGTACATAAATTTATTCAACCACATATGTGCCATTTTGTCCCACTAACTTTCACAATATAGTAGCTTCAGGATTCCATCCTCCTGGGACTTTCTGGCATGCTTTCTGGGTGCTGGATTGGTCTAAATGGTTTTTATAGGCTTTCATAGAATTGCAGTTGTTCCCATTAAGAGAATTTTATAGGGATCAAAATAGGTGGTAATATGAAGGTGTAATATCAGGTAAGTGTAGTAGGATATCCCAGCCAAGCTGTACCAATTTCTGCTAGATTCTGTAAAGTGATGTGGGATCTGGCATTCAGATTGCCCAATTTCAGATGATTTTTGATTGCTGCCTTTTCTTAGTACAATTAGGAACAGTACTTGTCTGAATTTAACATCTGATTTTGTTGCAGGAGCTTGTAATGCACAATGCCCTTTTAATCTCACCAGATATGCAGACATTGACTAGCTTTTGGAGTGTTAATAGTGGCTCAGTTCATTTTTTCCAGGATTTTTTTCATTTCACATTGTTGTAAACAATCCATTTTTCATCATTTGTGTTCATTCTTTAAAAAAATGAGTTTTTTTTTTTTTTAGCAGGGTCAATATGTACTACCCATGAGCCACCCAACCAGGGAGTGCTTTGTGACCTTTGATGCATTATCAACATTTGCTTTTTTCTGCCTACTTTTATATATTTTATATTAACTGACTATTAAAGAATGGAAAAGTTTTCACAGATTTTGACTTCATTTTGTGGTCTTTTTATTTTCATCCAAATCCGTGAATTTTTTTGGCTCAGGCTAAGTCTCGAAAAAACATTATATAAAATTCACCATTTTTTATCCATGATATTGAATTTATTAAAATTATTCAACTTTTTAACAAGAGAAATCTCAAGTTGATGTTAAAAATTAACACAAAACATTGTTGATTTATTTAAGATGGAGTAATCTATTATAACATGTCTCTGATTTGTATTTACATACATTGTATTTATTTTCAATTTTTCTAGTTGAATTGTTCACTTATATTGCATATGATCCATTATTGTACATAAATAGGTTACAATAAAATTTGTATTTTATATAAATACTAATTTATGAAAATTGTGATGTAGTAGAGTGGGGGGGGTGTATAATAGATTTGGGAGGAGCTTGCCATAGATGTGGGCACACAAGACCTTTCCACTGGCCCTGTATATGTCATAAATTTCAGTCACATATGAAACAAAATCATGTGTTTGAAAATCACCTCTTGAAAGACACTACAAAATTTTGTTCTACAGATAAGCATAGTGCAATATATTCAATCTTCAGCTGATTCAAATTAAGCCATAGCTGGTATTGTCATGTAGTAAATTTCCTAAACCAGACATGTTTTGACTATACTATTTCAAGCTGGTCTGCCAATCTACATGATTGATTGATTCATTTTCTTATCAGCTCTTTGCAGGTTATTTTTAGATTGTAAGAGTGTTGTTTTTTTTTTTTTTTTTGAGATAATAATGGTTTTAGTGATACAAGTCTTACTAATTAACTCATAGATGGCAGAAGAGGTCAATTCATACATTTCTCAAGGGTATTTGTGCATAAGTGAATTGGAACTCTAGCCATTATCCATGGCACAACCTGTACAGCACCTGGTATTTTCAAGCAGTCACCCATTTAGGTACTGAACAGTCTCAATATTGCTTAACTTCGGTGATCATACAGGAACTGCTGTTTCAACGGAATGTGGTGATAAAACCTATGTATTAAACCATTTATCATCAAACACCCATTATAAATTTCTGTTCTCATGATAAAGCAATTTCATTTAATGTTTTGATATCTCATCTGCATCCAGGCATTATTTAAATTTTCCCTAGTTATTGATACAAAATCCGTTTTTCCATCACAAATGATATGAAAAAAAAATTTGATTACTTTTAAAGCATTAAATATGACTCATCAACATTTCAATTTTAGTTCTTCATAAGTTTGAAAACTTTTCATTTTGGCTTAAAAAGGCAGTAAGAATTAATAAAATGAAATGAAAGTTTTACTGAATGAAAAAATAGCAAATTATATTTTTGTTTAGAAATAAAATTAATCAAAAATGTTATTTAAAAAAACAAACAGTAAAAATATCAAGCATAAAATAAGATGGGTAAATGTTATGTTACACAACCTAGTAGGAAAATCAATTAAAATTACAACTTACTTTTATCTGAAATCTATAAAATTGGTATTATGTCTTGTTTTATAATGGTAAATTAATTTACAATTTTTGTTATCTGACAAAATTTGAGCATTCAAATTTGTCATTCTAGCTTCTTTGATAAAACTTCCAATGACATTATTATCCAATTTTTTTCTTTTTTAGTTGTTTTGGAGACTGATGCTGAGATCATCCAGGAATCTGAAGATGTACATGAAACAAGTTTTACTTCTACACAAATGTTTGATACTGATGAACTTCTTTTGAGACTTCCGAGCCGTAAACTTAGTAAGATGATCTTATTTAAAATTTTTCAAAATATTAAATTTAATCATGAGTGTTTGATTCATTTACCAACTTTTTCAATATAACATATTTAACAAGTTTTATTAATCAAATCAAATATCTTGTTTCTGTGTTGACAATGTCCAAAAAAAGAAGGTATCAATAGTGAAAATGATTTTACCAGAGTGTTGAAGTAGTAATGAAAGAAATGGATGCTCCTTATCAACTAAGTCATGTCCCATGAATAAACAGGGCTCGTAAAACTTGGTTTCCTAAAAGTTAAGAGTTTAATCTCTAGGCTAGATAATGCAGAAATATACACTGGCTGAGTACATTATCAGGAATAATTGATGATTTTTGAAATCCACTAGGAAAGACATGTGACAATTTTAAGAATCCAAAAGGTATGCCCTGGTGGACTAAATGAAAGGGTAACATTCAATATACTTGGAAGATTACTGAATATGATAAAGAACTGAAGAAAGCCACTCCATAGACAATGACCAAAATGTGATAAAAACAAAAATGAGGAAACTAATATCAATGTGTAATATTGTTGCTTCAGTAAAATAAATTTTAATGAATGGTTAAAACAGTTACTTATTGCAAATAAAGAAGTTGCTTTGAATCAGTCTTTCATTCTCAACCTTGTTTCTTGAAAATTATTTCTTCAGAAATCTTGCTTTTTATGAAATAATTTTTTCTCTTTATTCTCTCAGTTACTAAGACTTTGTAATTAATGACATCTAATGATGTATTCTTAAACTTAATTTAGTTGATTCAATGAATTTCCATAGAACAACCCTACTTTTTGCTGATTAATATGACCCAATATAAAACAAGGTGACTTGATAACTGGAGAAGAATTTCACATTAGAAAGGCAGTAACTATGGGTATCATTTATGTAGTGAGTTATAGAATGACCCAACTCTAGAAGTTGGGCCCTTTTCCTATTAAAGATACTACAACTATTCTTAATGAGCACAAAGTTCTGACTGACGTAATGAACAAATCTAATTTTTTTATTTCTTCAAAAACATGTAAAATACTGAAACAAAAGAGTTCATACAAAGTAATTAATAAGTTTTCAATTACAAATTTTTCCAATGTACAGCAAATTCATAGAAATTTTAAAACCATAATTACGTTGTGTACCAACAAGCAATGTCAAAAACTGCTAGAGACTAATTATTTCAAATTTTGTCATTCGGATTATGAGCGAGGAGTTTTCCCTTGCTTTGACTTTCTTTCCAAATTCAGAATTAGTCACATGATCGGAAAAGGGCACAGTTAAAGTGTTGGTTTTGTGATGACCCTTACGAAGTTGTTTCCCCTACATGGTCTATTATAAAACAATTAACCCTAGCTAGAATTCTTGGTACACCACTCAGCAACCACTACAACCATTAGATTAAGTTTGAGAAAAATACTGCTGTCAAAAGGACCCTTGAAACAATGTAGTTTATTAAAAGATGAAAGAATATTCATAACTAATAAAACAGAGGCCATGCTTTGCCTATACTTTGATTTCAAGCGAAACATCCAAATCAGTTTTTCCAGTCATTGGTCATCAATAATTATTTTGATCAAATGGTTCATGGACTTGCAGTGAGTTGGCACAACTATTGACCATCTGACTAAGATTTTGGTTAGGTAAGAAAAGATCAAAGAAAGAGAAAGAAAACTGTTGAGATGTTCAATGCCTGGGATGATAACTGAGAGGTTTAAGGTGAAGTTATGGGTAGAATGCCAGAAAGACTTAGTATTATTTATTGGAACTTTGGAAATAAAATGAACAGACTCAAAGTTATAAAATAGATAATATATATTTATTCATTTGACTTTGATTGGAATGAGTCCTTTGTAATTCAGGGTAGCGAAATTTCATTTATAAGTCAGATCTTCGTAGCAATCAAGAAAAAAGTTTCAGCTCAGTAGTTGATAGTCTAGAAGTCAGACCTTGGTAGTAGTTGTCATCTTCAAAATAGATGCATCATCAATCTGCTGCATTTTCTTAGCCCTAAGAAGAGCGGAAAATGTCTTAACTTCTTCACGCAGCATGCTTAGCAGATTTCTCTGGCGTTCCCTTCTTTTCATCCCCCACCCCCCGACTGTCTGTTTATATCCTTTTTGACAAGGTTCTCAGACTATTGGTGTGAAGCTTGATTTTGGCTAACATCAAAAGTCTCTTGTGTTAATTTTTTGTTATTTTTTGGCATTCCTTTCTTTTTCATTTTTTTTTTTATATATCAGAAGTTATTCATGGAGCCTGTCTTTATTTGGTAGATTTGCAGTTTAAATGGCTAAACTTTGATCCAGTAAACTTCTGCCATTTTTTGGCTAGGTTTTCTTCTTAATATGTGAGTTGCCTTCTTTGAGAGAGAAGTACAGAGATAAGGATTTTAAAGAAAAATGCAAATTCCTTATTTTAATTTGAATTATTTTTTTCTGTTTTTATATTCTATTTTACATTTGGGTTCAGCACAAATTCAATTACTGGAATGAACATTTTAAAAATGTCATTAAGAATACCATGACTTAAGATGGTGAAATATTTGCAGTCACAACATTCACATTGTAAACATTTTTTAAAAAGAATAAAGACACTTTGTTGTGTCAGTAACTATGATTGGTGCTGCCACTAGCCAGTTTTGCTTGGTTAAAAGTCAGGTTTCTCAGATTCCCCACACAGAACAGATTTTTTACCAGGGCCTACTTTTAGTAAAAGCAGCTAAATTAATGGATGTAACAAATCAGGTTAAGTATCTCTCCCATGAGGACCAGACATTCATTAACAATTTACAGGCAACCAAGGATGGGGTGGTGGGTGATAAGTTCACTCTTTGTAACCTGTAGTCTAGTATTCCTGTGACATGTATGATAAGTTTTGCATTCATGAAACAGACACTTGATTTTGTCATTTTTAATGTTCAGTATAAGTTTACTTTTCTTACAGTTTTCTTATTTTTCTACCTTCATTAAGACCTTTAACCAGAAAAGGTACCATGTTCAGTGGCTTTGAGGCATGCTGATATTGAGATGGCAAAGATAATTGTTTTGTCATTTCAGATAAGATTGTGTCTATAATATCCCTTTTTTTTTTTTTTTAAATAGAATTAAAAGTATTATCTACTTTTAAAAAAGAATGATTTTTTATTTTCATTCTAAAAAAATGTGATTAGACTTTGTAAACTGAAAGCATCAATTATTAATTAAGCAGTAAACATTATGATCAATTTATATTGAAGTTGTATATTAGCAAGGAAGCCTCTGTTTAATTTTGATATCTTTTCTATCAGGTACATGTTACAATCACAAATGAAACTTTATTTTATTCACTATTGTTATTTTCATTTGGAATATCATGGAATATTTTTATTATAAAAATAACAAAAAAAAACATGAAACATTTAAGCTTTGAGAATAAATCTGTGCATGTGTAAAGTAATGCAAAGATTTCTTTTTAGATATTTGAAATATTTGAATTGTGTAATAAGATATTAGTTTTGTTTCTGCTTTAGCTAAACTTTGATTAGCCTTTATATATGGTCAAAAGAAATCATCATTAATCAGAATAATCATGAACAACTGAAATTATTTAATTGGTGTCAGAACTTGTGGAAGGCCATTGTCTGAAAATAAAAGAAGACATTAAATTTAGGTACATATTTCCTTGAAAAATATTACATTAGTAATAGAAAAGTATCAAAATATATGTACATTTTTTTTTTTCTTGTATTTTTTTACACTTGATCTTTTGGATTCCTTGACAATAAAAAATCAAACATTATTAAAAGGAAATCTACTGATGTTTTGTTAATAAGAATCTTTCAGTGACTGTGATTTAAGTGAACTTTGAGTCAGCTGCAAGATTCACTGTAGTTTTTATTTTTACCAGGCAGCTTTTTAAAAAAACAGAATTATGAATAAAGATTTTATTATTTTGTTTACAGTGTCTAGTGTTGGCTCAAAAGGAACAACAACAACTTTGAGAAAGAAGAAAACTATTCGATCTAAAAGCATGAAGTATCGAACTGTTCGGATGCCACGAAATGCAAACAGTGAAGACATTCTTAAAAAATTAAATGATGAAGATGTTATGGATGATGATGGTCACATGACAGAAGATGGAAAGGATGTTATTCGTTCAATGCCTGTAAGCCTCAGTGGCAAAATACAAGCCTTGTAAGTTTATCTGAATATGATATATGTTTATTTTATCACTGACCATACATCTACATATAAGCATAGAAAATATCTGCCAAATAATGAATATTTGGATATATCTAGACATCTTATTAACAATGTAACATCTTTGCTATGATGCATCTTGTGTATAAAATGTGGTATGTGTCTCTTTTTATTAAACTTCTTTATAACTATCAATACTGTTTTATATGTGGATATAACTAGCCAAGATTCACTGTTATCTTCAAAAGAACATTGTACTGAATTTAATGATAACCTGAACTAATTAACTTTGCTTTTAAAGAACAGACTTAAAAACACATTTTTAAAAAAGAAATTAGTTTAATTATGTAAGAAGGTATGTAAACGTAAAAGTGCTTATATTTTAACTCAAAATAGATTTTTGAAGTCAAATACTGTGTTGAAAAATGTATAAATTCTTCACGATTTTTTTCACAAGACAATAAATAAAATTATATAAAGGAGAATAAAATAAATGTCTCTATTAACAGCAGTCATTCCTTTTAATTGATACTTTAAATAACTGTAGAAGTGAAAAATCTATGGTTATCTGGAAGGTTTAAGGGGTGAAAATTTGGCTGTATAAAAAATGTTTGTTTTTTGGTCAAATTTCTTCTTTTGAAGAGAGTTTTCATATGATAGGAAAATATGACTAGACGAAGGAAGATTTCTTAATGAATTTTCTTACTACTTCAACTCGAACTCTCCACTTGGTACATTGTCTTTTATTTAAATGTGATGTGCAAATGTAGTATCAAACACAAATATTTAGCAAAAAATGCTTGAAATTTCTAATAACTTAATTGAAATTTTACAGATTAATGGGTTGATATATGTTTAAATGCCATGTAATTTTTATCTTTTTCTATAATTTATAAGTTAATTAAATTAAATTTCAAATTGTTAAGCACATGGTAGATATATTGTATCTTAGTAATAACTTTTAATAAAAAGAGGTTTTTTATTTAGTCTGAAATTGATTATATTTTAATGTGTCTGCTATAATTTGAATCTGTCTAATTTCTCCATTTTTCCAAATCTTAATTTATATGAATTTTTAAAAATTTTTCTTCACAAACACAGCAGTTACTTGAGATGAGAAATTTTTTGAATTGTGGCAGCAATAAAAATTTGTGATCACCTTTTGTTGCAAGCTTTGTAATTTGGTCCTTGTAATCTACCATAGAACAAAAATAGAGAATTTTTCTGTAGGTCTATTTTTTAATCTCTTTTTGAAAGAGTCTAAGAATTTTTTAGCCCCTCTTTATAAGTATTTGGTTTTTATTTTCTAACCAATATGGAAAAAGGGGTTGACAAATAATATTAAGAGAAACAGAAAATATGTTCAGTTCAAAATAGTTTAGCCTCCAAATAAAGGAAACACTGATTTTGAAATAATTTGTTCCTTATGTGTTTATTAGTTGCAGGATATCTGCATAGTGTAAGGGATGGGTTGGTAAATTAACAGATATCTGTGTAGAAAGTGGAATTGGCAAACTGAATTCCTGCCTATTCTGTTGCGTTCACTTTTGCACAAATCCCCTTATGAAAGACATGAGTCCATCTCTTCTCTTCCCAGGTGTGGTTTAAATAATAGGGTTGCCACACTATCCTTTGGTGACATCCAGTCAAAGTAAAATTCTGAATTCAAAATTGAGAAGGAATTGGGAAACTACTCAACTATATTTCCCATAATTGCATGGCAATTCACAGATAAAGGAAAATCTGTCGAGAATCGCCCACGTCCTGAAGGAACATGGTATTAAAAAAAACAAAAACAAACTAAAAATCTTGTAAGTAGATGATAAATATTTAATTCTAAATAATATTGAAGAATTTAGCATGAACATATGTAATGTGAGGAGTTGCCGTTCATCTTTTTTCTCTGGAGTTGTCTCTCTTGCATTATTTGAATTATTACAGCCTTCATAATTCCTTACCTCGTTCAACAGATGTGATGGGAAGCGTTGAGAGAGATATAGCTTTCTCTCTCATTCTTAACTTGAGTTAAGTTACCTTGAAAAAAGAAAAAAAATCTAATTTTTTTCTTCAAAGACATTTGTTAATAAAGTCATTCCCACATTGTTGCGGTCCTTAAGGCTAAAGATAGCTTCTATCCAAGATGAACCTGTTTAAAAGTCACTTCTGTCCACTTTGAAAGATTGTGACAAATTCTATTGTCACTGAAAAATGAAACATTACATTATTGAGTAACTCAGTTGGAATATATAATTCTCATCCCAAAAGCAAATAAATTTTCCAAAAATCAAACTCTGCTAAAAACTACTTTCACAAATATTTACAATACTGGAATATCTTAATTTGAAATATCAATCATAAATCTAAAAGTATTGATAGATCTTGATAAATGTATCTGATGCATTTGGGAGCAGGCTGTTAACTGGGTTGTACATATTGTTATGTCTTGCATTATTTGATACAAATATGGTAGATTGAAATTTTAAAAAAGATATCTGCAGCCTGATGACAGTCTGGAGTTTTAATCTTTTTCTTACAGATAGTTTAAAGATTATATTCACTATAAAGTAAGTGTAATCAGATTTTCTTAAAGATTTGTTTTGTATTTCCAGACAACATCTTTCTGAAAATCAACAAGCCAGCAATATGAGATTAAAATATTCAACATGGTTTTCCTCCAGCATCACTAGTGTAAATATTTTCTTTTTGTTATTTTCCTGGATGGCTTTTCTATTGCTTTATGTGTGTATATATGTACTTATTCAAATTTCTTACTGCTTTAAAATTCTTTATCATTTAGAACTTTAATAAACTTAACACAGTCACCTCCCAAACTTTGACACTTGCTGAGTGAAAATTGGCCACAGTTGGTTTAACCAAGTCTAAATTCTCTTTTAATAATTTTATCACAGTTGTAGATGAAGACAATTAGAAAAAGCCTCAAGCAACTGGAAAATCTAGAATAAATGAAGAACCCTAAAGAACTTTGAATAGTTTTTATTTTCAAGTTTCACACATAATTTTATTGATAATACATGTCAGAATTGTTTATAATTGGAAAATTGAACTCTTTCTATTGGTTGACCAGCTTTTTTCTTGATCTGAACATTGGCTCTCTGCTGCTGCTGTTAAATTTTAGCATTTTTGTATTATGATTTTGACATGCATGATAGCATATGTGAGATAATTTCAGAGCTGAATATCTTGATAGATATCTGATAAATAAATTCAAAATCTCAGCACCTTAGCTAAAAAAAGTCCTGTTCGGATGTTTTATTTTCTTTTTTGATCATCAGGTGTTGTTTATTAGGATCTGGAAAATGAAGGTGTCAGGAGCATTCTGACCAAATTAGTTGAGAAAACAATTGATAAGAACATATTTTTAGAGAATATTTTTTTTATTGAATGGAACAAAAAATATTGTGAACAAGAAGAGAGGATAAGTTAAAACGGAAAAATAACTTTCTCTACCTTATCTTCCTTTTTTTTTTCTTCTTTCAGTCATGGAATAAATTTAAAAGACGAGTGAATAACTTGGCATTTTATACAGCATTGTGGAAATCAGCCATAAAGAAGATCAAAGGCCATTTTGGTACAAGTGTCACTTCATATTTTCTGTTCTTGAAGTGGCTTTTTTTGTGGAATCTTTTTTCTTTCTTTATAGCATTCTGCTTCCAAGTTCTTCCTCAGTTACTTTATAGATTTTTTCAGATGAAACCCAAAGGATATTCAAATAACACACATTTTGTTGGTACAGATCTTCTTACAGGGAAAGTAAGTATCTGCATTCATTTTTACAGTTTTTTAATATTTGTGTTCTACAAATGAAATAGTATTTTTAATCTAATTAATAATAGCAATTGTTTTTATTAATTCAAATGGGTAAATGGCAGGACAGACTGGGTCTTATAGCCTTGGGTGACTAACAAAAATCTGATTGCTTGAGTGGTTGGTGACTAAAATGATTCCCCCACCAGACCCTGGTCTGGTTTGGAGGGTAAATGGAACTCTAGCAGCATAAAAACAAGCTGTTAAAGTGGATGAACTCCTTGGATTCAAAGGCCATCCAACCCAACTATGAGTTAAGTAACCTCACCAACCCACAATTGGCCAAATGTGATTATGGCTACACCCCTGAAGACATGGTCAATCAGAGAGGGGTTCCGACAACAGGAGTGAGAAGCCCCCTCCCAATTTGTATTTGGAATTCAAATGAAACTTATAGTCACAATTACTAAAACAAATTTATATTTAATAATTTAATATTAAAATTCTTACAATACTGTGTTATTTTTTATATTTGTCTCTTATTGGTTCATGATTAAAATTTTTCTTTATTATTTTGAAAATATTGGATTTAGGAAACTTTTGAAAATTCACAGACTGGAATTCATAATGAATTATATAATACACACTTACATATACACTTATAAATTCATACATTGATTCTTTTATATAAGGTGTGATAGAAAAATGAGTTATGATGTCACTAATTGATTTTGAAAAATTTAGAGAAGTATTTTACAGGAAAAAAATATATTTGAACAGAAATCTTGAAGTACTTCAATTAGTTTTTTCTACATTTTGTACTTCAATTAGTTTTTTCTACATTTTGTCCATGAAAAAAGGTTCATTATCATTGATATAAAATTCTTGTGCATGCTGAGATGTTTATTTTCTGTAAATTTTTGGTTTCTTTTTCAAACTGAGATGTGTGTTCTGTTAAAATAGAATTTCCTTGAGCATGTGAGCAGTTATTATTTTTAATCTTGTATATATTTATTTGTTTTTTTAATCAGTATCAGTACAGCCACTAACAGGCAAGGGGTTATGGGGTGTGGAGGAATTAGGAACAGAAACATTAGCAATGAGTAGAAAGAGGAAAGAGCAATCAAGAGGACAGTAGATAACGATTGATATTGCATTTAAATTTTTGCAGATTAAAGTTGCCTGGAAAGTATGGAGCTAGAAAAGAGTTCTATAAGCAAGAAGTGTGAGAAAAGAAACTGTTAGCATATAATTTAACTGTAAATTGATGAAATTTCTCTGCCAGTCTAGTATTGAACTTAAATTCATACAGTCTAGGTACCATAGTGAAGAGCTCATCTGAACAATTACTATTAAGAAAAAGCATAGGGAGGCAACCTTACAGTGGTAGTCAAGTGACTGAAGCAAAGCTGCCAGAATTTTATCAAGGAGCTCCAGGTAAATAGCAGAGGCACCAAACCATATGTGGCCACAATATTCTAAGCATGTATGAATGATAGACTTATAGATATATTCTGGAGAGAAAAATTGTCTCACCTGACATAGTGAACCAACTTTCTTAGAAGCTGACCTAGCAATGGATTCAACATATTCTTTCCATTTCTTGTCAACGGAGAACATTAGCCTGAGAAGGTGCAATGAGTCACTTTCCTGTAGGATAGCATCAGTCATGCTGATGGAAGGCTCAGATGATTGATGGAGAGAAGCTTAGTTTTGGCAGTGTTTAAATTGACCAGCCATTTTTTGCCCCTGTTAACAATGGTCTTGAGGTTGTTTTGTACATCAGCTGCCATTAATAGTATGAAAGAGTGGCAGTTTAGGATAATTTTCATTTCATGATTTGATAGGAATGACTGGATCAGCTTAAAAATGTGCCCAGAGATACTGTAACTTTTCCGCTTGTGGAGAAGACCTGAATGCCAGACCCTGACAGAGTCTTTCAAGATGTCAAATGCTACAGCCCAGGCTTCACCGTTTTTATCTAGAGCATGATAGACACTTTCTGCAATTAACATTATTACATCAGCAGTTGACCTGGAAAAACAAAAGCTGTATTGCTTGTCTGAGAAAAGGCCTTGCGATGAGAGATGATGAACCAATTCAGCATTAATTATGGCCTCTAGGAATTTCCCAAAAAGAGGTAGAAGGTTCACTAAGCATGTTGAAGTTTCAGTTTAAATTTTGCATTTCTCTTATAAGTTTCTGTTGATAAAATAATTGAATAATTCTGTTGATTTAGTTTGCTGCATTGATAATTTCTCTTTCATGACTTTCATTCTTAGGGTTGGTTTGAGGATACAGAACTATATTATGGATTCTATACAAATGAAAGCATATCAATATCTGATTCTACATATTATAATATGCCTTATGCTTATTTTCTAACCAGTGCAGTCAATTATCTACTTTTACTGGCCATAATTGCTTACAGGTAAGTTCATCCATGACTAACAGATTTTTTTTCAAAGATTAAAAACAAACGGCAAATATTTAACAGCATCATGGGGAAATGTTTATTAGAAAGGATGCAAAAAGAACATTTTCAAAGAAAACCTATTGTAGTGCACTTATAAGAATGCATATGTTTATAGTGTGATTGAACTGATGTGCTTAAAAAAACTTCAAATTGTTAGACATAAAAAGGATTTATTTAAACAAAAATAGAATAAGAATTAATAGAAAAAAAAATTATTCTACTGAAATATTCTACCTTGACAGTAAAGCACCAATTCTCTCCCTAAAGAATTGTTTATGCAAAAATCCAGTTCATTGAAGATTTCAATTTGATTCTGATTGGAGAAGTTTTGTCTGTAATGATGTGAACTAGAGGTTTGAAAAAACATGGCAATCTTTAGAAGAGAAGTTAGGTAAATAAAACAGAATGTAATAACATTTTTTTCTTTAATGCAGATAAATGTTATCATGCTGTAAAATGGCAGACTTTTTCTTTACTATATTGGGTGCTGTCTGAGTTTTGAATGCATTATTTCAAGCTGGTTTAAATATTTATGTGTATTGTTTGGCTATTTTAAAGGAACTTATGATATATGAAACCACTTTGTTTTTACTAAACCCCATAACCTTTGAGAAATGATATAGCCCTGCTTTGGTTGATTGACTTTGTTTCTTATCTGCATTCCTTTATTATGCTGATCTTGAAATTATTACACAATTTATTTTCCCTTTGAAATCATGATACAATGCAAAAGTGGTTCAATTTCAACCCATTGTTATAAAATGTTTTAATGCAGGCTCCCACTTCTGATTTCTTTGTTTCTTATTTGAAATCATTTCAGTTGATGCATTATAATTTATTAGTGTTCTGATTGAGGTTTTACAATCATTTTCTGTTGCAGTCTTCAAATTTTCACTATTGATTGATGCTTTTAGCTAACCTCTCTTGGTTTTCTAAAATTAAATCTCCACTTTTAAAAACCAACATATTACTACTTATTCATTAGCAACTTTGTCACTAAATGCAGAGTTAGTAAATTTCTCAGAGATTCAGTTCCATTTATGTCTCAATTTGAACTCAAACAAGTTGTAAACCTTTTCTTGACTTTTTGTTCTTCACTCTTCACTGATTGGTGCTGGATATCAAGGAGGAGATAATTGAATTATATGGACCACATTTTATAAACTTTTCACTGCTGTTTTGTTGACTGTTGCTTTGTGGATTTTAGAAGCAACTTTCTCATTGGTTGCTGTGTCATAGATTTTAAAATTTCAGTGAATTAATTGGTTCCAAGATAATTTGAGTGCTGGAAAAATCAAGGCATTCATCTTGTCATTTTATACAGAAATGGTAAAAATTGTGACGAAAGACATGACTTACCTCAGAATTCGAAACAAGCATGAACATGCCTTCTTGCAAAGTGATGACAAAAAGAAATATGGCTGCTATTGAAGATGCAATTTATGCATGCCGATCTTGTCCAAAACGAGACAATATTTGCACACATGCAAATTTCAGCCGTATTAGAACAGCATAAAAAGCAGGGTGCGATGAGCACGAGTGCATCGGGAGTCATTCGGCGGACTGCGTGCAATAGAGCAGGATGTACGAATTGACAGACGAACAAAGAGTAAGTTGAAGTGTGTGTGGCTGAGTTTGGTGTCTGTTTCACAACTGCCCAGTGTAACGGCTGAGAAAGAGTCATGCAATCCATTTCCTTGAGGCGACCAAAGAAGAAAAAACAGCTGGCCTGTCGGCGAGTACTGCATTTTTTGACCCCCCCATCACCATTGTTTTTTTTTTTTCTACAAAAATATAGTAGACTGAATAGAGAGAAAATAATTAATTGGCTGTAAAATTCAGAGAATATTTTTCTATTGATAAGCAATCAATGAAGCCCAAACATGATTGACTCAAATAAAATGCTTCATGCTGCCTATGAAAGTTTGTCATTCAGATTCTGCATAGGTTTTTCATTCTCAGTTGCAGTTTCTGCTTCATTTCAATTTGTCACAACATTGTTCAAAGAACCATCTCAATCTTGTAAATATTTTGAGACCTTACATCATAAATCACCTTTTCTAATTGAGTTAGTTCTATAAGTTCTTAACTCTTGAGCTGCATATTTCAGCTGATTGAGAAATTAAACATTTTTGGAATTAATTTTATTCTTTATACCTAAGAAATTTATTATTCTGGACATCTCGGTACTGATATTTCAGAAGTATTTAATAAAATTAACAATTAAAAATTGCAGCACTAAATAATAAATAAATAGTGACGCAAGAGGTAATAAATAATAATAGTGATGGTAATAATAGAAGTGATAATGAATAAAATAGAAAATAATAGAAGTGGTGATAACTAAGTAATGATAATAGATGGTGGTAATAAATAATGGCAATAATAAAAACAAAAACAATGGTAAAAAGCAGTACGAATCGTGTGAGGGAGGTGTATGAAGTGATAATAATCATAGTAGTTATTTTGGGGTAGGTACATATGGTGGGGGCAACAATACTGGTAACTAAAATAGTGATAGTTGTTGTAAATTTGTGTTAGTGGTTTATTGTGTCCATAGGGGTGATAGTAGTTTGGGTAGCAGTGTTAGGAAGAATATTGATCTGTATGGTGGTGTTTTTTTTTTTTTTTGTTTTTTTTATATATTATCTTTTTGGTATGAATTGTGATAAGAGATATTTATTTTTGTGTCTGCATTTTGAAATTATTTTGGATCTTAAGTTATTTCTTTTGTTGGGTGTGAGAAATTATTGCTACTTTTTTGTGTGGACAAAATAGGCATTTCTTTGTTATATTGTTGTAGGCAAGTGCATTTTTCATGATTTTCCAGCTTATTTTTGGTGTGATGTTTCTCTCTTTTAGTTGCCATAGGTATGTGGATAGTGTACTGCTGTTCCAGTATTTTTCTGTTGGAGAATGAGAGATTGTGATTGTATTTTCTTTGCTTGAATGGTCCTTCAGTGGCACTGATGTAGTACATTTTATTGTTGTTTGTGCTTACCTTGGCTTTATATATTATGTTCGTTTGCTGGCAGTTTCCTTGCAGTGGGCATGTTGTTTTATTTCTGCATTAATATTGGGGGTCCTTGATTGCACTATTGTAATTTCTTACTTTTTTGTTGTGGCTTTTTATTATTTGCATTATATTTTTAGTGCAGCTGTAACTAATGTTGTTTCTGTTGAATATTTTTGCTAGGTGGTTTGTTGTGGGGAAGTGCTTTTTTATTAAATTTAGGAATGTCCTTCCGATGTTTGTTTTGATAGTTTTATTGTATGGTGAGTTAAACCAAATTATGTTTCTTTTTCTGTTTTTTTGTTTTGACTGTGGAGGTGTGTATTGTAGTTGTGTGAATTAGTAGGTATACTCATCCTCTCATACCTGTTATAAATTTGGGTAAATGATCCTGACAGAGTTATACATTAATGACAATGTATTAATGATTAATAATGAATATATCTTAAATATAATGTCTCATTATTTTAAACAAACACACAAATACATATACATGCAATTCACTTTTTTATCTTCAATCTTATGAAACTCAAAATGGGTAAAATGCATAG